CGGTCACTGGAACTAAAATGGCGGTTCATTGCGCGGAAGTCGCTAATTCGTCCTGCCACAAAGTGCTGCAGCTTAAGTTTTTAAACTGTGCTTGATATTATATTTAATTCTTTTTCTCTTTTAGGTTCTGTGTTATAAATTGTAGCTGAAGCTTTGTGATAATAAAAGAGATGTATGATGGACATTGTTGTTATAAAATATCTGGCACAATGGGTGAAGAGTTGAGGAATTGTTACGGCTTATCATAAAACAAAATATCTTCTACAATTTCGCTGAGTAAAAATCCTTGAGTATGTTTTATGATAGTGCAGTGCTGTAAGTATTTTTTACGTTATATGGCGGCCAACGAGTTCATAAATTACCTGATGGTAAGCAATCGGCGCCGCCCATGGACACCCGCACTATAGTATTGCGTTGCTGGCCTTATAGGGATTTAGAGATCGGGAAGGGTTGGTGGAAAGGAACGTTTGGAGCTCCGGTAATCTTACGCACACGGCGACACACAACGATGTGGTTGTTCCACGCCAGGTTTCTTTGAGGCCGTGGTATCACCCCGGTCGTCGAAGTCACATTGGTGCCGAAGCATAGCTTTTCCACGCTTAAAGCTGGTACGGTCTACAAGCAATGCATAAAGAATATCGTGTCTCTTCTAAAATATATTTTACATTGTTGCTTTTAACAGGGATTCTGAATAACATTCAATTGATAACAGCAATCTTATTGAAAAGTTCCTTAATCATCCGAAATAAAAAATTGCTTAAATCTTTTTAGAGGTAATCTTTTAGGTATATATAGATATGGTTTCTGTCAGCAAGTAATGCACCCTTTCAGCTATTAATTCATGTTTGATAAACGTCTTGATTGGCATTTAGGTACAAGACCGTAATTATGGTGGCTTGTATCATTCACACAGAGGTCCGACTCCCAATAGTGGGAATGTCTATAGACAAATTTAATTAATACAGTTGAGTTTTGTTCAAAGATTACAAAACGGAAGATCCTTTGAGGAAATTACACTTGCATTATAATCGTTATGCTTATCGATGTATTACTTATTTTTTAATCACTACGTAGTATAAAACAAAGTCGCTTTCTCTGTCCCTATATCCCTTAAATCTTTAAAACTACGCAGCGAATTTTGATGCGTTTTTTTAACACAAAGTGATTGACGAGGAAGGTTTATACATGTAATGACATCGATTAAGTAGTGTCGAAATATTTTATTATCAGCATTGAGACGGGTCGCTAGTAAATCAATAACATTACCTCTAAATTAGGATCATAAATGAATTTTTCGTCAGTAGTTTATCAGAAAATTAATTTAAAAATGGCCATTCTAACGTAGCGTAATTTGAATAGACATTCTGATACGCATCGCACATTTTTAATTAAATTGAAATTACTAAAATTAATATTTTTACTTGTAATAATGTCATGTCAGATACTATGGTGACTCACGGTAATACGTGAAAACATTTACATTATTTAAATTAGCCACGGTCCCTGTAGTGTAAGCGTGTTTTAGTCATGCATGATATTAAAGATAAATATATTTTTAATTGAATCATTTTATCGAATTTCACTAAAACATATATTTATATTAGAAAACTGACTATGCTTCTTGGTTTCACCCGCGTAGTTTATAGCCAATGTTTACCGGGGTTAGTGTAGTTTTCCAACAATGAAATAATTTTTCAAATCGGTCAAGCAGTTTCGGAGCTTGTTCGATAAAAACAAACCAGCTATTAAATATTTTTTCTTTATAATGTTACTATAGAGATGTTTTCGAACTTCTAATATTAGTCATCATCACATTGATTCCGTCGACCGCTGGACATAGGCTTCCCAAAAGTCCCCAATTGCACGCCACTGTATACATATTCAGCTCTTTCTCATCCAACCACTGCTAGTCACTCTGCGGATATCGTCTGTCCACCTAGCTGGGGAACATATTAGTATCTACTTATATTATATTTTTAAAGCCATGTTGATGACACAGACTAAACTAGCTTTTTGTAAACTCCAAATAAACAATCGGAGCAGTTTTATCACACTACGCAAAATAAGGGATAACAATAAGTTGCTTGAAAAAAAAAATTAAAACTCCTTTGATATTTTAGGACGACCGACCTTGTGAAAGTAAAAGTATGTTATTTTACCAGAGAAAACTTAACAGGATAAAAATTACTGAAATAAAGGAACATAAATGATAAACCTTGTAACTTTTTTATTGAAATATGTTACCGCGAAAACCTCTAAATTCAAGTTGGGTTTTTGAAGGGATTATGTGAAAAGTTATATAAAGAACCTCCATTTTTGAACCCTTTCTTCTATAGGTAATCATTTATATCTTTGTTCAAACTTTTACAGCCTATTTTGCAACTCATATTGGGGCCATAGAAGTTCGATATTACGCAACTTTATTTTTCGCAGACTTGTGACGCAACAATATTTTTTAGACTAAAACCTACTTGCAGCTAAAAATGTAAGGTTACGATTTTCACATATCTTTGTTACGTAGTCTCAAATAATGTCTAAATATTTTCACAGTAGGTAGCTTACAAGGAACTCATTGAACTGAAAGTTATTTTAAATGACATCGTAAAACATCTATGATTCAATATTGTCTTTCTACTTCATTTATTATTATATGATTCTCTAGACCCCGATATCATAAGAGTTTATTCAGAAGGACATAAGTGAATCATAATATTTTTTTTAGTTAAGACCAGGTACTCAATGGTCTACGATTATATTGCCATAAATAAATATATTGTAAATAAGGATAATTAACCAATTACGAACCTCTGATTGTGACATAACATAAGTTGGCGCCATTTTGTTTTCTCGTAGTCGAGTAAATGTGAAAAAAATTGGCGCCAATTAAAAATAATTTAGGATATGCGCAGGCCTTATTTTTATTAGGGTTGCTACGTCAATATATTCTTCATTCTATTTTTAAATGTTATATTAGACCTTAAATGGTGTGCTTTTTTACCGAATAAAAACGAATATCGTGTGCTAAATCTATGGTTCAACTGATACCAAGAGAAAATTATTACGTTTTTCCATAAGTGCGTTGTGAATTGTTTTGTTTAATATTATGAGTAAGCTTGTACTTACCTAGATATGTATTTACATTGTTATTAATGAACTGTTATCAGTATCTTTCGAATGCTTCATTGCTTATATTGATTACTTGGTATTACATCTAATCAAGCACTTTAACTGTGGTTCTGACAACAATAATGATTATATATACTTATTGTATCTAAACAATGTTGTTAAACAATAAAACTGAAACTTTAGTTGTACTATTTAAAACAATATTGTCCAAAAGTTGATGAAGTTAAAAGAAACCTTGATATTTGAAGACATAAGTACGAAGTATCGATATCGATAACCAGGCTCAGTAAACGGTTTTGATATATTTATTATAGATCTATAATTTATAGTTTTATTAACAACTGGCTACTCTCGCGCGGTTTCAACCGCTGCTCTGCTCTATTTAATCGTAGCGTGATTTTATATAGCCTATAACACTCAAGAACATTGTAGCTGTCTATCAATGAAAGAATTTTGGCAATCCGACCATCGGTTCCAAAGATTACCCCCTACATACAAACTTACAAATTTTACCTCTTTATAATATTAGTGTAAATGATACGAATATCATTATTTTGAAAAACATTGCGAGACGCTTTTGTAATATGCGACGTATTACAACCATTTTGGAATAGGGAAATATACTTGGGTACCTATTAATTGTTTGTTTTGTTGTACTTACATTCAATATGTACACATCTATTAGTACAACACATTAGGTTGTGCTTATCAATGAATCACTGGAAAGAATGCCTGAACATCTGGTTTCCTCCGACGTTGATTAAAAATTGTTCAGAGGTTCTACGAGTTATGGTTCACACATGTTTTACCATAACATTACGCGACGTAATACATAAACAAAATAAGAATATGCCACTGTTTCTGTGTGAATTCAGTAATTAATTAATAGTTATATTCAAACTTATACTGAACGAGGTGGTAAATTGTTGTTATTTCTAGACAATTAAAAGCAGTCTAAATATTATTTGGTGATAGGTCAGCAAACAAGTCGGATTGCTTGATGGTAAGCAATTAACATCGCCCATGGACACCCGCAACAACGGCGGAGTTACAAGTGCGTTGCCGATCTTTAGGGGATAGGAGAATTGGAGATTTTGGGATTGGGGGAGGGGGAAGGATTGGGCCTCCGGTAATCTCATTAACACGGCGAAACATAATTGATTGTTTCACACGGGTTTTCTGTGAGGCCGTGGTATCACTCCGATCGAGCTGAAAAATCCGATTTGCGTATACTAACTCTTATAAACAACAGAATTTTTTGCAAGGCTTTAAACTTCAATAACATAAAACGAATACTTTTTAAACTGTAACTAATACAGTGACTGACTTTACTAAAGATGTCGGCTTATTCACGTGAATAAAGTGAAAAAAATCTCTATTAGTTTCAAGTCACTACGGAACCTTTATTCTTGATCAACGTGCGCGTCGCGATGTCGTTTAGTAGAGCATTTCTAAATAAATTCACGTAAGTCATTATTTTCAATAAATTATTCGATATGAGAACTATAGTCATACATTACGGACTAAACAACATTTTGAATTCACGTTGCCTACCATTGTCAAAATCGAAACCCTTGGCAAAACCTGACCTTAGAACAGAATACCCGTGTCCCTGTCCCAAATAAGAGAATAGGCAACCAGGCAATGTTCTGGTAAAATGATATTTAAACCCCGGCTACCCTAAGCCACCCCTGACCTTGATGTGTGTACCGAAAATCTGGGTCGAGCTTTTTCCTCGGGGATAAAAAAATATAACAAAAGGGCTCTATGTCATTATTTATCAATATGAATTATGTTTGAGCAGCCACTCTGAAATTGTAAGGTTTAACAAGTAATGCGTCAGTGAGTGTAATTTATTGTTTCTATTGTTCCAGATCCGCGCACGACAATATAAAGAAAACGAAAGTTGCCATCAAGAAAATATCACCGTTCGAACATCAGACCTATTGTCAGAGGACGCTAAGGGAAATTAAAATCTTAACCCGGTTTAAGCATGAAAATGTAAGCTTTAATTTTAATTGAAGACCATTACAATACGTATCTTCTAACGTAGTAATTAAATTAAATTAATTATCTTGAATTACCAGTTGAAAATAATAACAATTACACGAGATTCGCCATTTCTTGAGCAACCTCATTAGTTGCAATTCTCCAGGGTAGAACTTGATCTCGTAATATATTGTCATTAATTTAAATTCGATTTTTTGATTTTATTACTTAAACTGTAGAAAGTTGAAGACGTATATAGGTTTTATTCGGTTTAACAACATTTCTCTTTCACAGATAATCGACATCCGAGACATTTTAAGGGCCGAAACCATAGACTCAATGAAGGATGTTTACATCGTACAATGTTTAATGGAAACAGACCTTTACAAATTGTTAAAAACACAGGTGAGTAATACCCGTCAAAGTTTTTCAAACAACTTTATCAACATAAGAGTAATTAATTAAAATTACATTTGTTTCCAAATCTTAATAGAATTAATTTATTTAATTAACACATCAAAATATTCAATTAATTAGTTTCGCTCCAGATGGTATCTATCGAAATAATTTGCTAAAAGCGTCTCCCGAAATTCCTTACCCGTTCAGAAGTTGTTCACAAGTGGTGCGTTATCTCTTTCGCTCTTCATTGTTTAGATTTATTTATGTCTCACTCTTTAATGTACTAACTTCAGAGTGGGTGAGATATTTGATTCGGAAACACAATTACTGCAATCTGTCAACAATGTATATTAAATTTTAATCGAAATAGATTTTAATAAAGAAATTCCGTAGATTAAAATTGGTTGTTAAATGCACAATATTGTTTCAGAAACTAAGCAACGATCACATCTGTTACTTCTTGTATCAAATCCTTCGCGGGCTGAAGTACATACACTCTGCAAATGTTCTGCACAGAGACTTGAAGCCTTCCAACTTGCTACTTAACACAACGTGTGATTTGAAGGTAAGATATTATTATTATCTGATGCATACTTAAGTTAATTGTGAACTGAGAACCTTTAACAGCCTGTAATTGTTTGTTTTGGCTAATAAAATTTGAATTTAGATTAATATCTAAAACATGCATTACTTACACATTTTTTTATTATTACTTACTATTTTATACATTTCTTTAAACTTGGAATTAAATAAGGAATCAGCTGATTACGAGATACGGATAAAGCATATTTTTATGATTTTGTCAATATTAATATCTTAAGATCACTTTCGCACTACGCCCGATCTAAGTAAAATTATTTCTATTGTAGTTTGAGCGCTACCCCCGTCATCAGATTTCTTTTGAATTCTGTCCCCAGTTTTCTAGACCTGTATTCGGATTCCTATTGGAGGCAGTGCGGGAGCGCCGTAAGGCTAATTCACTCAAAATAGACTCGTACACGACAAAACAGACTCTAATTTCATATTTACATATGTATATCTAACCAAATTTGCTTGTTAAGCACGTTCGTACACAATTAGTTATTGCGAGAAATTTATTTATACCTTAGAAATCCAAAGATTGTTCCCAACAAACTTCATCCGAAATGTAATTTCGTTAAAATTCCGCAACAATAACTTTGTTTTAACCTGAATCACGTTGTACAGGTACTTTTAAAGTGTATAAAGGCTGTGTTGGAATTACGCAAATAGTTGTCTTAATAGAAAACACGATTTTGCGGTTTAAAACAAAGAAAGTTTTAGCCTAGCTCGTGCGTTTTTTTTTTCACTAGCAATACTTAGGTAACCGAAGTCATTTGAATTCACGCTGTCTGTTCTTCTTATAAGTATTTCTTCTTTATCCTCATAGGCATCTATTTATCATGCACCTTGTTTATCTCTGTATTACTCTTGTTTCACTGAAAGAAAAGAAAAAAGATTGGTATTGGTATAAACCTTTACTTTGTAGGATCATCACGGCTGATTAAAACTCCTTGCTCATTTTTTTTTTGTTTTCGATGAATTTATTATTGTCTGTTTGGTTGACGCCCTGTTCTTCTTGTAAGCTTTTATTCTTCTTTATTCTCGTAGGCGTAATCTTTCCATGCACCTTGTTTTAGTCTGAATTAGGTACTCCTGTTTTACTGAAAGGAAAGAAAAGAGGTTGGTATAAACCTTTTCTCTGTGGGATTAAAAACTTCTTACTCATTTTTTTTAGTCTTCTATTCACTTTATACTGTTTGGTGACACGCTATAACTAAGATACACCTCTAGCTTACTGTTACATAATAAGCGAGTGTACACACAATACTATAATAGTAGGTACGTAGACAGGAATAACTAAGAACAAAACCACGGATATTCGTATTGTCATTCAGCCAGAACTCGGCATTATTGCAAAGCCATGCCGACCGCAGTATTGTGGTCTATGCATTGTAATGCTATCATTTATACTCGACGTAGCAATATGCCGTATTTACATACACCGCTTTTAATAGTGAGAGTTTGTTGTAGTTTCCAATATGTCTTGCCATTTCTATGTTGTTTTCGCTATTTGTTAGGTTAATGAAGAATTTGAAACTGTTCTGAAAATAAGTTGAGTCTTTTCGTGACGTGTTTTGTATCCTCTATATACAAGTTATAAGCAGAGATGACGTGTCCAGCTACATTATAGCTTTTCGCAAAACTTATAAGCTTATAGAGTCAAGCATTATGTATGAATATATAATTCAAATATAAGTAGTCTGTGATTATCAATTTAACTTTAATATCGTTATTTAACTAACCGACGTTTAAATAACAAAGTAGATTTTCCCAGTTTTCTATTAGGTCATTCTTTTTTCTACTTGTTATCAGAATCCAAAATATATTTTTGCACAAAAAGCTGTCTTAATAATTAACTTTGTGCTTTGTCATCAGTTCGGTGGGATTTTACTTATGTCTTTCAGTTTAGGCCATGTTCGCCAGTCGTACTTTCATCCCCTAAGCCTTCAAATTCATTTAACCATCCCCTCAGAACTCATAATCGTTACACAAATGTGTCTAAGTCTTACGGTTTCCCTTTTACGAGCCATATTAAAAGCCTGCGTGTGTAATAAAATGAGATTTGCATAGCACTTTGCATTCTTAATTAATTGTCACGAAATTATTGTTAAGTAATGTGGTGGCTAATAGAAGTATATTCTTAATAGATTAGGGAATTGAATAGTAGTGATTTTAAGAAAAAATATTAGGTATTGTGCTTCTCGCAGATCATAGGTACCACACTAATCCTAATCCATCTTGTCTTGACACATGAGGAGTTTTTTTTAATGGGACAAACCCGAAGCAACCTCCCAAAACCGTTGCAGCGGTTTCCTCCTGTAAGCCAGGATCTACAGTAGATACAACAATGAAAAAACCGGAACTGAAGTCCGGCGCGTCCCAGAGATATGAATGACTGTCTTGGATCCCGCAACGAAATAAATCAGAAGATATAATTTGAGGAGAAGAAAAAATCCCTTGGTTAAATTAATGCAAGGCACACAAGAGACTACAACTGGGAGAAGCCCAGTCGCCAAACACCACGGAAAATTTTGTAGTGTTATTGTAATGGGAGCTAACACATGCGGAGTTCTATACTTTAGCTTACATACATCAGCTATGCAGTCAAACATTTATTATTAAACGTATACACTAACCATCTATACAACAACAATCCCTTTCCCGATGTGTGGAAACCACGTTAAAATCCGTCCTGCGGTTTTTGAGTTTATCGATCTCAGAATGACAAATAAACACAGCAAGGTTTTATTATTACGTCTCCAATCCTTAGGTTAAATTAAATTAACTTATCGAGTCTCCGCTGTTCGATTTTCCAAGTAAAAGTAATAATATTAACTGAATAAAAAAAGGTGAATTTCAACATTATTTTGTTAGCGACTCCCGTAGTCTTTGTTTACTATACAATTCACTTTTCCTAGGGATGTCGGATAAGACGCAAGGGACGCGTTCCGAGAGAATACCTATGAATATTTTATGTAGGTAGATACTGGTACTGATAATAATATACCGAGTACTATTAATTCCCCTGGCATGGCCGATCGTGGTAATAAATATTTTTGTTTAATTTGTGGCCTCTCAAAGGACTGTAAATATTTATGGGATACAAACGTTTTTGTTTTGCATAAATTTCCATCAATATTGCCTCGAAATAATGCTGTTTGTTTCTACATTTCATTACGCTGAATGAAAGAGTAATACAATTGGAAATGTAATCGAGATGTCTTCGTTAAATTGTAAAAAAAAACTTTGAGATTTTTCGTAATTATGTTCATGATAAATGTTTGTTAACAGATTTGCGACTTCGGTCTGGCACGTGTAGCTGATCCAGATCATGACCACACTGGTTTCCTCACCGAATACGTGGCGACTCGGTGGTACAGGGCGCCGGAGATTATGCTTAATTCCAAGGTACGTAAATTCAAAATTTATTGACAGATTTTTCACTATTTAACACTAAACAGATTAAACGTTATTCAAGCTTAACGATTCCTAAACCAAACCGCAACTCGGTTTCACAAATCCTTTATATCGCAAACAACAAATCATTTACCAACCAAAATACTATTTGAATTGTTGACGGCGATAACGGCAGCTTTGAACGATAAAATACCCGAAATATAGTTGAACATTTCAATTTATGTTTGCAATATATTGTGGTAATCAAAACCATCTCGGTGTTTGAGCCATTTTGATAATGCTCTATTTTAGACAACAAAGGATGTGATCACAGAGGAATCCAAATTGTCTACTATGCCTCCGACCTTTTGGGCTGTTGACGGACTGCGAACAATACGTCTTTATTGTAAGGTTCTGTTCCCCTTTCCTTCATTATTTGCCGCCATTTTAAGAAGCCTCTTCAACCGATAATGCTTTGTCAAATAAGCAAAAGATTGCTAATTCATGAATATTACTACAATATATAATTCTGTCAAATATCTTCTAAAAATACGTCTGTTTCAGAATATTAATCAGGTCTCTTTACTGTTCCCATAGAAACGGAATAGCGTTCTGAGAATTCTATGAGCAGTGAATTATTTATGAGTGAAAATTAATTATTGATATTTATTTAGACCTATTTGTTTTATTATTCTATTTCTAAGAATGGCAATGATGAGAAACTTTTATAGCGTGAATTTTTTGTTAATGAAATGTGGAAATACCGTGCGTGTCACTAACTAATGTGTAGATTCACGCATCTTCTACAATTCCTACATAAATTTCTACTTAGGTCTTTTTTAAATATGATACTTTCCTTAATTATTTGGTAATTGCTAAATGCAGCCGGAGAATACTTTAGTCCCCGTTTCTCCAGTCGACACAAAGCTCCTAAATGGCGTCAGCGTTTTTTCCCATATTAAGATCGCATTAACCGAATTTAACTGAACGAGATGGAAATTGTCTATTCAAAGGATTTATTAAAATTTTATAGTTTGCAATTATAGAACTAATTTCTTTTTTGAAAATAGACTACCTACTAAAAACTAATATGGCGTTATATTAAGTGATTTAGCGGGAAACACGTTAATGACTTTTGACTCTCTGAGTACCGAGCGCGAGTTTACGTTACCCCGATGGAAACATTACTGTGTTTAACTCTCTGATTGGCTAGTTTAGTAGTAACAGGCCAATCAGAGCGCCGAATGTCATAAAGGTGCCATTTACGTTAATGTAGAGCAAACACACACTAAGCATACAGAGCTCCGATTGGTCTGCTCCAAGTTAACAAACCAAAAGTGTCGGAGAGCGATATTTCGGCACGAATGAGCCGGCTCGATCGGCGTTATAGCACGGCCTCACAGAAAACCGGCGTGAAGCAACACTTTCGTTGGGTTTTGCCGTGTGTGTGTTTACTGGAGGCCCAATCCATCTTCCCCCATCCACAATCCTCACATCCCCTATCCTCGAATCCTTAATATACACCGCAAGAGGTCGGCAACGCAATTGTAGTAACTCCTTTGGTATTAGGTACGTAAAGACCATTCAGAGGGTTCCCGGTAACGTTTCCATTTGTTTTAGAAGTGTAAAAAAAATGAATAATAAATTTCATGTGTAAATAATCGTTGGTATATTTATATATTCTTTAATTATTTGTGTTAAACCCGACTTCTGAAATATCATGAAATTTCCTTACACAATAAGGCGCCGTTTTCCTTACGATTTAGTATAATTATGTGCTCTCAATGTAAGCTATTTTCTAGCTTTTAACATAAATGCTTCTTATATTTGCGTAATCATATACAATTATCTATTATTATTTGTATTTATTGTTGCTATATCTATATGTATGTATGTATGTATGTATACATTCTTATTTTTACATACAATGACTATATCGACGTAGTATTGTTACTAAAACGTTATGCTTAAATAGTAGTTTGGTATCAATGAATTCTTTACCAATAGTCTTTTTTTGAACGATTCCGACGAAATGTTATTCAACAAAGGACATTCGAAATTCTCAGTATCTATTTATGCGTAGTATACTTTTTCGTAAGAAATCACTACATAGTATAAAACAAAGTCGCTGTCTCTGTCCCTATGTCCCTACGTATGCTTTAATCTCTGAAACAAAGCAACGGATTTTGATGCAGTTTCGGTATTTATAGATAAAGTTTTAACATTCTTTAAATAATAGAGGAAAAAAATTTGGGGCGGGTCGCTACAATAGTTATAATCATTTATTTGTCTTATAGCTCAAACCTTTGTCCACAGGGCTACACCAAATCGATAGACATCTGGTCCGTAGGGTGTATTCTCGCGGAGATGCTGAGCAACCGGCCCATTTTCCCGGGCAAGCATTACCTGGACCAACTGAACCACATCCTTGGTGTGCTCGGCTCGCCTAGCCAGGAGGATCTTGACTGTATTATCAACGAGAAGGTTTGTACACATTTCATACTTATTGGCTAGGTCTTAGCCGTCGATTTGTCTGAATATAATCGTAGGTTATGTAACGTACTTTCCTCTAGATGTGGGTAAAATTTCAAGCGGATTTGTAGCGGAGTTAAGACTTGAAGGAGGTTACATACAAACTTACTTTCCTTATTAATAAGGTTATATTTCAGGCAACAAAGACTTGTATTAAAAATAGCATTTAATGTACTGTGTATAAAAAACTATATTTTCTCCTTCTGTTGGTTGCTGTGGAAGTTAAAATAGTTTATAAGTAAGCTCGTGTTAAAGGATTTATTCGAATGCGAAACTAATCCTAACGCAACAAAGGATCATAAAAATAAGAATTGCAATAAGAGTATTCACAGCAAATGGAAACTCTGCATTTGCTTGGGGTTTAGTATAATACTATATATTATTTTTATAAAAATATTTACTTATAAATGTGTTCATATTTTCGCCTTAAATACCAAAATCTAGCACTACACCGTGTACAGATTATGTAACTTCAATCTGTCACACTAAAAGATTATCAACTTTAATTCTTTTGTAATTGAAATGCCAATAAATTGCACAGAATTTCTTGACATAACAAGTTTTTTTCAGTGTAGACTACTTACAATAATCACGGAAAAATATCGGTACCTTCGAAAAAGTAATAAAACCTCACATTTTCGGTTGAAATTTGACGCCATCGATATTGCGGGTATTAGTCGGGGGAAAGTAAATGTAGGTACAGAACTTGTGTCAACGGGACAAGCTCGTGAAATTGGCTCGTGTTCAAACCTTTCGTTCAATGTGTACTTAGGTCCCTCTATACATATATACACGTAAAGTCGACTGCGTACGTACCAAGAACGAACGACAACAGGTCAACTAATTCTAGTCGGTCTTTATTAGATTTTTAACTTTATTGTGATCAAAATATAGTAAAAAAATTCTTGTAGTCTTACTCATCTAATTATGTAAGCAGTAATAGTGGAACCGTTGTAGGTAAAAATTTCAACTAGAATATTCGGTTTACAAGCATAGGTACTTCTCATATTTACAAACCCCTGTCCTAGTTTGAAACTAATCGAGTATCCTCGAACAGTTACGTGAACATCTGAGGGATATAAGTACAATAATTATAATATATTTTTCTTAACGTCAAGTCTACATACATAGACCAACTTTTTTCATTCGTAACATATGTCTGTATTTATTATAGTGCAGCAGGTATATCCCTCGTCCGTAGGTAAGAGAGCACGACTACGTGAACAAACAGCACCTTTGTTTTGTTTAGTGTTGTAGTGAAAACATCAAACAGTCACATGTGTGGTTTGCAATTTGTGAACGCCAATGCCATTGTTTATTCGTACTTACCTAATAAATACGTGCACACTGATGTACGAGTTGAAACATAGACTATTTGCATTTATTTCGTTTTTTAAATTTGGAAACAATGAATTTTACCGCTCTGAGAAGAAATGCCGAAACAAATATAATATTAGAGAAGCGATAATCTCTTGATATTAATTGGAATAATGTTATACTATACGATATTAAGGTCTGTATAAATACTCTTTGTAAAAAGCATAGAGGTAGCTATTGTAAGTTTTTGCTTCACTTGTCACTCACTAATCTCAAAGACAACCTTTAGATTTCTGCTTTTTTTTCATACTGTTTCTTATTTTAAAATGTTAGCGACATATACCAACGAGTCGACACGAGGTGGACCTGTATAGGCAAGGTTCCCAATCTGTATTTTTTATTCATAATGTCTCCTAGATTTCGGGCTCGGTCGATCGTGCAGTCGGGAAAACTTTACGGTTCCTTCTTGGTACACGTTCTTGAATAAGATATGAACTTTGACCATAGATTCAATTGTAACTCGGTCCCAACGAGTTTTCTTAATGGCGGTCCCATTTTTTGTGGCGATCTCACTCGATAGTTTCGTCGAATTTTTACCGAACACAATGATTTTTGTGTTTTTGTTTAAGGCCTTTACTGTTCTTGGAAACTGCTTTTGTGTGTTTGGGCCTGAGTAGATGTATAAACCAGGTCTTATTTTATTGGTATCAATTTGAAATTTGCTATGAAAAAAAATCTGATTTAAAATAAATACTTATTCTTAATTAGATTTGTGTGTTAACTGACAATTGTTTATCATGCAGGCAACTTTAAACTTCAAATTGTATAAATATTTGCTAAACAAGACTACGTTTCTCTAGGCTCGAGGCTACTTGGAGTCGTTGCCGTACAAGCCTCGAGTGCCATGGGCGGACCTCTTCCCAGGCGCAGATCCTCGCGCACTCGACCTACTTCACCGCATGCTAACCTTCAACCCACACAAGCGCATCACCGTCGAGGAGGCGCTTGCGCACCCCTACCTCGAACAGTACTACGACCCCAACGATGAGGTATGATTTGTGACCGACAAACCATTTTTTATCTTTTATAATTATATCTTTGATGAAAAGCTATAAAATGTAAAACCTTTTTATATTTTGTTTAAACGATTTTTATTTTTCGTTAGCAACCTAATCTGCAAATCAAACACAGACTGAACACATTTTCCTAATTGAATTCACAAATGTGTTCTGTAAAGAGAATTAGTTACACAGTCGAACAACGTTCAAAGACGAATTTTAATTACAGCCCGTGGCGGAGGAACCGTTCCGATTCGCGATGGAACTCGACGACCTTCCCAAAGAGACACTCAAGAAGTATATCTTTGAGGAAACCTTACTGTTCAAGAAACTCAACGAAGACGCGTAGACGTGGGGTCGCCGGTCGTCGCCTCGGCCGAGGGAGGTTCCTCGCATGCGAGCTCTGTGCTCCGACCGTGCAGGTCGCGTCACGCCATCGCCGCTGCATACATTGCATCATCGATACATATATCTTATCTACCGTGCTTCGCGATTATTAACCCAGTTACAAATAATTCCTAAGAATATTTGTTCAATGTTGTAACTTTAAGGATAACATAACGTTTATTATTACGATAACAGGAAAATTTACGGAATACAGAACTCGCATGCAAATGTTCCGCAACCCAGGTCTAATTGTGTGGATATGATGATGTGGCTTCAAGTTATTCATCGACAGTGGTTGTTAACCAAAGGTGAATAGTTTACCATCGGGTCGTTTTACGTTAATTTTTGTATGCGAAATTGTGAACTCGCAAGAGGGCATGAGAACCGGGTTCCTTATTTTTTGCCGAAAGAAATTTTATCAAATGTGACTGTTATTAGTCTTATAAACTGGTATTAACCAGTCTGTCAACATAACTTCTCTGTTGTTTGAACATAACAACATCAATAAGGTTTTTGATAATATTAAATCTGTGGGTTACTAAGATACCCGGTTTTCACGCTCCGTAATATACAACATTATGATCTTGGAGCGAAGAACTGTTAGAATATAATTTAGCAAATGACATGTAATAATTCAGAGCCAAGGTCACCGGGCACTGTTGACTATTTTCAAATGATTCTACCGTAATGATGCCGCATTGCGGTTCACGAAAATACAATTCCAGATCTTAAGCATTACTTCGCTTCACGAACATAATGTTTTGTGCGCTGCAATGCTTCATGACCCCTATTTTTCGGTCAGTGAACGGAGAACGTGTCTCGACTCTGAGCCTAACTTTAAAAAAAGAACTATAAAATCCAAATGTTTGTATTCTACGCTGGAACGGGGCTTTCAAGGCGCAGTCTCTTTTAATTTCTTAGGCATAGTCGCTTTCAAAAGCGATCGATAAAGTATTTTGTGGCGGTATAATGCATAATAATTTTCTTAATTTAAAACTGCCAAAATATGTAATAAATAATTATAACTCGTCGCTTCGTTATTATGATTCAAATATTATTCGGAAACTTGACGTCTGAACGTAGATTCGTGTTCGGAAATATCGTATCGGTATGATTGGTCAGAGAGTAGTCGTAATAGGTATATATTAATGCGTAGCAAACTTATAGTATACTAGATAGGTCTTTTCTGAAATTTATAAACGTTAAACATACCTAGTCGTACAAGTTGTAAATTGTGATGCTCGATCATTGTGTTGACGGGGATCGATGTCATCGTAGGTATTCTGCAGTATTACAGTGTCGATAAGAGACGTATGAGGTACCGACGACACTCGCGATGGGGCCGCGCGCTCGCATCGCGACATCTATCGGATGGAAGTGGATCCACTAGACGAGTGGCATTCAATGTTTGTATTGAAGCGTGTCAAGTGACGCGTAGCAGACCGCTGGAGCGTCACTGCACGGTACAGAGAGCGGAGAGACGATGGAAATGTTTGGCGCGTACATTCCGCGGACAGCGCGCGGGTAGCGTGGACAGCTAGCGGTGCCGGTGATGGACAGCCGATGTAAATATTTTTACATTTCGACTTAATGTATTTTAAAGTGTCACCGAATAATAATTTCAAGCACCACGTTATTATTCATCAATTCTAATGTGATTTACTTACGAATAAATGTACTTTCTCTTTAGATCGAGGTGTTCGTTGGAAAACTTGCGTGTTTCAATGATTTTGTAATAATAATTATCGTCTTCCTTGTATTTGCATGTTAGCGCACAAGATAATTTTAGAATAGTTATTCTTCATATCAGATATTTTAAAGAGATGTTTATAGATTAAAATTAAGTTGATTGTGCGATTAATGATGTGGTCGCCGTATCAAGTTTTTCAACGAACGAGCGCGGGCGGGACCGCGGCCTGCGAGCTGGGGCTGCGGCGGGTCGCGACTATTGTTACACTTCGTTATTGTCTATAAGATGTTGTTAGGATCGAGCCCACGTAGTGTCGGATACTGTGCGGTTCTCACTACAGTTTGGGCGTCAATCTACTTCTGTACTAAGACTTGAATACCGTTGTTTGTTGAAAGTATTACGAAGAACTTTAGCTGCTAAACTTTTTTCATTCAATTTTATATAACAGTCAAAGGTTCGTTGGACAAGGGCGAGGACGATGTTGTAGATCTCAAGATCTTGCTATACGTACTATAAATGAATAAAAAATAAATAAATTGTGTTGTATATTGTATAATGATCGCTTCGCGCGGTTGTGGCTACGTTCACGGGGAAGCTGCGGCAGGTGGGTTTAACGTTTGAATTATTAATGGGAAATGTGGAACATGACGGGACTTGATGTAATCAAAACAGTTCGACCACGAACAATAACGGCGGTCGACGCGATATTCCATTTCAAAGGGAAATGCTGCAGCGCCTGCGGCTCGCCGTGAATGTAGTGACAGCTCCATCAGGATGATGCCGCATTTATTGTACCATCAACATGATATCGAGTGTTCTTTTAACCTAAAACCAAATAAAGTACCTTGTTTGCGAGGCAATAAGTCTATTTGTACAGTTATTTTTCTAATTTCGTTTTCAACGTAAGAATGCTTTGGAATATGTAATATCAACTGTATTTTTAGATCATACGCCAATGATTTGTAAAAAGACAAGCTTATTTATAGTGGCTAGTGTTTTAACTAAGTGGAATTCGTCTCACTGACTGTCTAAATAACTTGTTAAATGTTTTCATTGTTTAGATTGTACCTTTTATTGTGTCTAGAACAAAGGTATTGTTTATAAAGTCTTAGCTACGTCGAATGTTGTGGTTCACCCATGTCTAGTGCAATAAGCCCAGGATATACGCGACTTTTAACCCACAATCCTTTGTTTCTAGACATATTATGACGCATATTTCAACCATACTTTAATATATATAGCAACATACAGAACCGAGCGAACTCAATTTTTCAGCGGTCACTTAATGTTATTAAAAATGGTTGCAAATATAATAAAAATAAAACCTGTTTCGCCACATGGAAAATGTTGAAAGTTAATATGGAGTAAATGTGGGGAAATGGGCAGTTTTGATGTCTCCAATAACACATATGACTTCCCTTGCTAGTTAGTTTTCTATACAACCTCTAAAATCATAACACCAGAGTACTAGCGTGTATTTATTGTTAAAATATGAGTGTTGCCATATTTTCTTAAGTCATTATGTACAAATTGGATATTGTAAGATCATTTGTTATCTGTCAACAGTTGAATATTACGAAAATAAATCAAATCAAATGAGGTTACTTGTTTAATTTGTTTTCTTTAATTCTATAACTTTAGGTTTCGTCCCTATTGACTCCTCATTTCTAATTTACAAACAAATAACAACTTTATTGGAGTGTTAATTAAGTTGTTTGGGAAGTAAATAATGCCATTCTGAAAAAGGCACGACAGTTGTTGGGATACTGATACATAAAGTAACATTTATTATTTATTTTATATACACTTTATTGCACACGCACACTAAGTAGAAGTACGTTGAATATTACGAAAGAATTCCGTGATTACAACGGGTGGTCTTGTCACATAAGGCGATTTCTTCCATACAACCTTTAGATGGAAATGTATCAAAAGTAACTTGGGCATGGGTAGTAAAGTGTACCTTCAATCAAAGTCATTCAACATTCAACAGCGTAGGAGTACGAAAAAAATATATTTTAAAACTATTTACTCGTAAGCTTTGATATTAATTAGGGTTGAACGTCGAAGTACCGCAGCGTAGCGCCCGGGGAGAACACGACGGGTAACGAACGCTCCAGACACGAAAACAAGACTTGTACAATGCGAAGAAATAATTAGAAACCCTCGCTTTTATTACGTAACACAATACCCTTAAGAACAAACACGTAATTATTTTTTAATTGAATTATTTTTTTAAATAATTTGTTTGGAATATGTTTTTCCGTATGGAATGGAATATGTTTGGCCGTAGAAGTTTAGAGAATATGGTGCCTTAAAACTATTTCCTAATATTTTCGCAAAAATGAGGACTAAACATTTACTTACGTAGGTATTGAATTTTCCTTGTACGGCGAAAGCGCCGCACTACAGAAATAAACAGACACTTTATTACGCAATTCCTTTTTATCCAGCCGCAAATTCACAGACAAATTTCTATTTTCTAAAGTGCATCTTTCACAATACCTATTCGTGGAACGTCTACGTGATAGTTTAACTAGATAAAGTATTTAGTTTCTCAACAACTTTTCTCATCTGACTAGAAAAGAGGTGTGTTTTTAAAAAACTCGATTAGAAACTTAGGGCTGCTAGTCACACCTTCGATACTTGAGTCTGCAGTGGCGACAGGGACTACCTGTTTTGTGGCAAAATAAATCCCTTGCTAGCAAGAAATTTAATACCTTGTTATACTCGACAACCCTTGTATTAATAAGCTCCTGTTTTCGTACTGAAGGACAATGCCGCCGCAGTCAGGCCCTTAGTGGTTTCCGTATCTAAACATCTTACTGTTTTTTTTTATCTTCAGAAAATTCTAACAGCACTTGTACAAAAGTGGAGTATAGAACTTATCTAGTGAAAAGAAACTTGCGAGGCTTTAACATACATACTTAGTACTAAATTTCTTATCTAACTAACATCGACACGATTTGAAAAATAAAATTTGCCATAATAACTTTTATTTTTTAAATTTAAATTATTTCTACATAGATGCATATCCGATCCGAATCCGATCCAGACCCGTGAAAATCTGCCTGTCGTAGTCTAAGTATTTCTATGGTAATTTACGCACTGTTTCCATCATATGGTTCCGATTTTATTAGTAGTCTTTCTTGAGTTTAGAAACGCTATCAGTGTGCAAGTTACATAAGTCTTCTACCACCAGAACCTTCTAAAACCAGACACTTTGTTCTCTTATTAATGACCCATAAACTGGTTAAAAGCTCAATCAATCTCTGTCTATGATATAGCAAAGTTTTGATACAAGAAAATACTTAATCGAATTATCAACTCGGTTCCAAGCGGGGCTTAAACGATTCATAATGGGTTAAGTTTCGTTAAACAGTCGCGTTTGTCCTCGCGACAATGAGAAGTACTGTAGCAAGTGTCCTTAATACTTTACTATATTTCTTCACAGTACTTATTTCACGATAAAGTGCGCAGTTTACCTAATTGTAAGTCATTTTTCTTTTTGTAGACCTGTTATTGAATTTTCTTATTAAGATGTTGTATGTACAGACGTAAAACCTTTGTGTATCGTTAAGTGTTATTTTTCAAGTTTGCCATTAATTTACATAATATAGCTTTTTCTGAAAAACATTTATGAATACTGAACGTCAAAATATTTACTTGTATGACGTCCATTTTAACGTGAAATGTAACGTGTTTATATTTCGCGCCGAGGTATAATGCTGGCCATGCGCGTAATTCGCAATTTGAATTTGTGTACCTACGCGCC